ACTGAAGCAGAATACATTGTTGTAGCAGATGTATTCAAAGAAGGATTATGGCTTAAGGGGATTCTATCTGAGGTGGAGCTGATTGATGAGAAGACGGTAGTGTTTTCGGACAGTCAGAGTGCAATTCATCTTAGTAGAAATCCAGTCTACCACGAAAAGACGAAGCACATGGATGTTAGATATCATTTCGTGAGGGATTTAGTGGCTAAAGGAATCATAGACTTGAAGAACATATCAACTGAGGACAATCCAGCTGACATGGGCACAAAGGTAGTAACTGTTATAAAGTTCAAACACTGTTTGAACCTGCTGTTTATAAAATAAGCAGCAAATAACAGAGCTGAGAAGGATTCTTGGGAGGTAGCTGCACTAGAGAGAGTTAGACTAAGCTGTTTGGTTGTGTTTGTGTTTTTGGAGCTTCAAGGTGGAGAATGTTAGAATGAAGCACACAAAACGCTGTTGTTGTACCTTTAGTGCAACGCAGCCGTTTTATCCTTGTTTTAAAAGAGATTGAATCCAGACCATTGAAAAGAAAAGCATCTAATGGCCAGGATTTATTCTACCCAAAACAAAATGCAAAAAACGACTTTACCTTGCTGCTGCGTTTTTCAGTCTGCTGCTGGGTTTTATTTTTTCAGTTTTTGTATTCTGTGTAAAAGAAAATATGCTCTGTATCATTTCATTCTTGCCTGTAATCTTTGTGTGGTTGGTTGTAATCACTTGTAAGGGTTGCGTTTCCCTTGAGTCTTGAGCAATGTTCTGAAAATCAAACCAGACAATGACCCATTCAAGGGTCCGGTTTTCGGTTTGACCGATTGGATCGATCGGTTGGACGGTAATTTGTTAAATTATTTTCAGTCCCTAAAGGTTTGAAATTCATCAAAAACACCCCTATAATACTCCCTTAAGGTTTGAAATCTATCTAAAACACCCCTGTCACGCGAAGATTCTGGCGACTGGTGCGGCAGCGACGATCGACGGCCAATCGAAGCTGGAATCTTGGGGCTTTTGATGTGTAGGTGCCGACGACTTTGATGGTGGTGTCAGGGAGTTCTATCGGCGCTGGAATCAACAAAAGAAGTCTGACGGTCGAGTGAAGTTCAAGTGGACGGCGACCGACGATGACTAGACGACGGGTACTGAAAATGGCAAGGTTTTGTAGTTGAGATGTCGTCAAGTCTAATGGCAGTGATTTCTCCCTCGATCGGTGCCAGAATCCGGTGGGATTCAACTACGATTGGATCGCGATTCGGCACTATTCTGGCGGTCCAACCGCGGTCTAATTCGGTTTAAATGCAATTAACGGTTTTTGAAGTATTCCGGATTGGAAATGCCGCCGGTCACCGGTCAAACCGATCCGACGGGATAGTCCGGTCCGGTCCAGTTTTCAGAACATTGGTCTTGAGGATCTGTTTTAGAGTTCTCATAGGAAAGATTTCAGGTTGTTGTGAGAGTGAGATATGCTATTTTAGAGTGGGTTTGGGTGTAGAATCTGCTTGTATCAAGTTGTATTCATCTTTAGTGCAGCGAGCTCTTGAGTTTCTTGAGCTCAACGTGGATGTAGTTTATCCTATATAGGATAAGCGAACCATGGTAAACATTTGTGTGTCTTTGTTCTTGATTTCTTTACATTCTTTATTTGTGTGTGTTGTGTGTGAAATTGGTGGATGATTTTGAGTGTTAGTAGTACAGATTATCTCTACAATTTCATTATGAATTAGGCATAGCTACTCCCTTTGATATCATCCATTAACTCACAACTTAATTTGGAAGTCATATTTTGACCTATATGTTCTCGAGATGCCTAATAACTAACAAACGGCAAGTGTTTTTTTTTTTTTTTTTTTTTTTTTTTTGTGCGATCCTATTTCAATGGAAACATGATAAATCCATCCGCCTATATGTCTTGCTCTTACTGTTATATCGGGAGTTACTCTCCATATTGCTTGAGATAAATATATTGTAAATTTTTTTTCATTTTGATGAATCTTTATTTATAATTTTGTTTGATATAAATTTTGCTAGGAGAAGATCAAATATTGAACATTCCGTTACTTTGTTCCCTCTTGTTAATGTAGTCCGTCGTTTCTTTGTTGAATTACATGTAAAATTAACCAAAGTTGGATTATTATTTAACAATTAGTCATAGTAAAGCCGGCTTCTTGTGAACAACTCAAATATTAACGGCTTCTTGGCCTATTGCTATGTCTCTTCCATGGAATTTTTACTATAAATGGGAGTGTTTGTTTAAGATCTCCATAACCCAGAAAAGAAATAGCTTCAATAACAAAGTAGTAGCAAGAAATACAGAAAAAAATAATGGCCACCAAAACATCTGTTTTTCTTAATTTGGCTTTAGTCCTTGCACTTCTCCTCGCTATCTCTATGGCTGAAGGCCACCGAACATTCGGCAGTAAATGTTCCACTGTTAAACATCAAATTATTATTAATAGATGTGAATATTTGCATAATTTTTATATGTTTATGAAACATTGGTAATGTATTTATTTGGTTTGAATTGTTAATATTGAAATGTGCAGCTGGGTTCCTGGGGGCGAAAAGCGCCCCACAATGCGAGTCAGTGACTGGGGTGAACAGTGGGGATACATGCTCAGCCATTGCAGAGGCATTCGGATTGACAGCAGACTTATTTGGTGCAATCAACCCAAACCTCAACTGTGATGAACTCTTTGTTGGCCAATGGCTGTGTGTTGCTGGCTCAGCTTAATTAATTTTCAGTTGTTGGTTCCACATCAAACTTCAAAATGTGGATTTTGCTTTTCTATTGATGTTAATAAGCATATTATGTGCTTCTAGTGCCTAGAGCACTACTTTCAATAAAGTTAAGTTCATTTTCCCTCCTATATCATTGCATGTTTGAAAAATATTTGTGCACTAACTTGCATTGATCAGCTAATCTTCTTTTCTTGTCATAAACTTCTAGATTAGCTCTCTTAAAATGTATACTTAAAATACTATAATTTTAACTATGAGGTGTGGTCCAGTTGATAACTAGGTTTCAAGTAAGACTGATATTATCTACAATGTCAGAGATTCGAACCGTTGAAAGCACATTGTGGTCATAGGTACTTACCTAAGCCCCGATCGAGATTAGTCTCATGCCTTCGGGAGGTTTTAAAAAAAAAAAAAAAAAAAAAGGCTATAATTTTAATGTTGTAATAAATTGAAGGCAAAGCTAGTTGGGCTTATAATTTAAGCCCAGTTGAGCCTGTAGAGTTTTGCAAAGTCGTCTGGCCCATTTTCATTATGGTTTACATATTATTATTCACGTATTTATTTTAAAAATAAAAAAAGCTAGGGGGGGTGGTGTGGGAGAGGGGGTTCATCGATGATAGACATTAAATATCTATATAAATAGATTTTCACCCAAAATATTAAAACATCAATAATGTTATATATACAAGATATTCCCCTTACAAATTGATGCAACAATCATCTTCTTTAAATGTACTTAAATATTATTTATGAGGGGACACAAGGTTGAGGAAAAGAAACGACGGATCAACACTAAAACAAGCATACAGCATACGATACCTAATTTCTTTTCTGTTATATTTTTAATCACATGTGAAACAAAAAAGAGATCTGATGGACAATTTACAAAAAAGAAAACAAATTCCAGTTATCCATTTGAATGATCTTATCCAAAAGTTTATGAAGTGCCCCATTATAATTAATGACTAGTCATGCGATTCACCTTTGCTTCAAATGCAAGGCCGTGACTAAATTGATAAGTTATCTCCCTCTCTCTTTTTTCCTCCAAAAGATATTTTGCCTGCGTATCGTTTCATACTTTTTCCCCATTTAATTCAACCTCACACTTGTCCCAAAAAGCTCTTCCAATTTCACTGTTACGAGGCTAAAAAGAAAATGCCACACAAACATCATGAGAAACTCGATTCCCCACTTGGAATAAAGTTTTGATTTTGGATAATGTTCATTTATTCATTGGATAATTTTGCTCCTAATTTATCAACCAAGTTATTATATTTTCAATCCATCTACGACCGTATAACCTCGGAAATTGTGTCAGTAATTTCGCCTATTAATTGTGGACATTATCTCATCTCATCGCATCCATCTTTCTTTATTTAATGGGATTATATATATTTAAAAGGGTACAAAAGTGTAATTATGTCCTATTAATCATGATTTAAGGCTCTAATGGGTAGATGACTTCTTCCCGATTGGAATTGGAGAGTACAACTAGAATATTTATTCAAAAATATATTTATTCTTTGTCTTGTAGAATTTAATAAAGTAAAAAGATAATTGGCCTAAAGTTCTTTCCAAGTCACTAGAGTAACCCGAATATCTTTATTTTATCACCACCTTTCAAAGCATTGCAATAATAAGGAGAAAGATATTAATCTGGAAGTTATTTTTTTTTTTAATCGAGTGTCCGGACCAGTTTATGCTCACCTTAACTAATCTCCAAAATAAACCATAATGTTATTGTGGTAGATGACCCCAAATTTGAAACTAGGAATTCAAAGAAGGAAGTAAACCTTTTTAATTGTCAGATCAATCTTTTTGGGTTATCTGTATGTAATTTACTATTGCTGCAAAATTGGCAACTTTGTGCTGTAAAATTAGAAATTTATGCTTGCAGAATTGGTAAGTTTGTGCTGTACTGCATGCCATGTGAAATTAATTTCGCTCTTCTTGATCTTATCAAGAAAAAGAAAAGGAAATTTGGTTATTATGCCTGGACAATTCCTTCAGTACAAATATACCACAGTTGGCAATGTTTGTAAAACTTTGGTTTGTTTACTTGTTATCCAACCTGTCTTTGCCATACATATTTTGCAACGAATTTGGAATTTGAATAGTACTTTAGCAGTTGTAACATTCTTAAAATATTGCTTGTTGGTATTTAATTTTATTCAAAAACAATTCACAATTGCTCAAGCTATTGATGCGAAATGGCATAAGTCACAAAGAACACACTACAGGAAATTAAACTCTGAAGAAAATACTAGGGCGAAGAAATTTAATTGATTGTGCCACAAATTAGCCTGTAGTTGACAACAGATTTTACTAAACAAAAGTAGAGCTGCGAATGTTATAAATTTTCAGGATACAATCTTTGAAGTCTAGACATGAAATCCCATAATATGTACTGCAGCTACCCAATATTAAAATTAAAAACTGGAGCTAAATAATTAAGTTGATTACACATCCTTTACTGGAAGAGTGGCGTTTCCCTTTCCCCTGCCCATCTCAAGGTTTCCAGCAGAGACAAAATCATCTGGACCGACGAATCGAGACCAATACCAGTGTGTCTTCCATACTTGACCCATCTCTTCAATTGGGATTCCCTTTGTTTCCGGCATGAAAAAGTAGATAAAGATTGACATCACGATCACAAAGAACGCGAAGAAGAGGAATAAACCGAACTTAAAGTGGCAGAGCATAGTCAAGAAGATTTGAGCAACAACAAATGTGAAAAACATATTCACTGAGACATTGATACTCTGAGCAGCTGATCGAATTTCAAGTGGAAAAATTTCACTAGGCACAAGCCACCCAAGAGGTCCCCAAGACCACGCAAATCCTGCAACATAAATGCAGATGAAGAGCACCACAACAATGGCGTACCATTTTGGTAGGTCTCCAGGATTCCCATCAACTCCAAATTTAGCACCAATAAAAGCAGCAACCGCAATCTGCACATAAACAATCACTACATCATAAGTTTAAGCAATTGAAAATTAGCTAAAGTAAATAATGTAATTTTATAATTTCTTATTAATGTACCTGGCAGATCAACATTTGAATTCCACCCTCCAGGAAAAGAAATCTTCTTCCAACTTTATCAACATAACGAATCGAAACAATGGTAGCACCAACATTAACAATGCCAGTGATCACAGCAGACATGAGTGAAGCATCACTAGCGAACCCGATTGTGTTAAACAAAACGGGAGCATAAAACATGATCACATTAATACCGGTGAGTTGTTGGAAGAAAGGAATTAAAATGGCAACAGTAAGGTGAGGCCTATATTTTCTCTTCAACAAATTTCTCCATGGATGTTCAACTAGTCTAGACGCTTCACTAGCTGCAACAAGGTCATCAAATTCCTCATCAACGTCATCAACACCGCGAACTCTCTTGAGTTTCCTCTTAGCTTCATTGTGCTCGCCGCGTTCGATCATTGAATTTGGTGTGTCAGGGAGGACCAATGAACCCACTGTGATGATAAGAGCAGGAACAATGGCACCCCCCAAACTCAAACGCCATCCCCAGCCGCCCTTTATCTTAGCAAAGAAATAGTTCAGCACATTGGCAATGAGAATACCAACTGTAATCGACAATTGAAACCCAATGTTGAGGGCGCCTCTGAATTTGTATGGAGCCATCTCGGAAAGGTAGAGTGGCACAGACTGTAAATAACACATAAGTCACATAATTAAACTCTAAATTACAATCATAATTCAATTAATTAAATTGGAAGTAAACAAAATTATCTTCCTCCGGGACCATGTCTTATGCCAACTTGTCTACGTTTTTTTGGGTAAAATACAGATCATAATTTTTTTAAACTACAATAAAACCTAGAAAAAACAAAGCATAAGAATACAACTTTCATAGTTAATTAAATATTTGAGCCGCTTTCAGCTATTAATTTTCTATTCAACGCCGTTGCAGTAACGAGTAAACTGTGCATAGAAGTCATAAGCAAACAAAATTGAGCCACAGACGACTTAGAGAAAGTAACATATAATATAAATCACATCTCAAATTTCCCAACTTTGTAACCAAATTCAACTTGTTTGGTAGTTGAAACGGAATATTTTATTTCCCTTTCTCTTTCCTACATTTTCTCAAGAAACAAACACAGAAACATCACTCGTTTTCCCAACTCCAAAACGGAAAAAGAAGAAAGAAAATCAGATCAACAAAGAAAATCTCAAACGGGTGGAAGTCATTATTTGAAAGAGAAGACAAGTTTGTATGAAAAACATATTATTGTCTTTTCCTAATACAGAAACTATCCGATCTACGGTTGGAACTATTGCAAATACAGATCTAAAGAACATGCTAAAATTCCAAAACCCAAAAAAAAAAAAAAAAAAAACAATCATGCTAACGGATGAAACCCAAAAAAAAACAAATCTATAAACAACTCAAATGATTCAAGGAAGGAATGTAAAAGATTCTTTTTGCTTCAGACAGCACATTTCTTGTTCTGTTCAGACAACTTGTAATGAACCAAACAAAAAAGAATCTCAGAACCCAATATTGAAATAAAAATAAAAAACGATGATAAACAGAACGAAATTAAAATACCTGATTTGCGAAACCGATACCGAAACCGAGCAATATTCTACCGAGAATGAGCATCCAGACTGCTTTGGCGAAACCATTGATCAAACCACCGGCGAGAAACAGCACGCCACCGAATAACATGGACAATTTCCGGCCAAATTTTCTTGTTACGGTGGAAGCAACAAGTGACGAGAGTAGAGCGGCCAAATACAACGAAGACGTGAACAGAGTGAGTGTCTCGCTGTCGTATTGGCAGTACTGGTTAGTTGACTTGTTAGCTTGTTGCTTATCATACACAGAATGAAAGAACTTCTTCAAGAATGGAGCCATTGAAGTCACACCACCTATCAAAAACCATCATTAGTTTACCAAAAAAAAATGAACTTTCATGAAAAAAGAAAAACACGTCAAAACGCAAACTTGATTTAAACTGAAAAGGGTATTTACCAGAAATCCCAATATCGTAACCAAAGATGAGACCACCCATGGCTGCGACGATACATGTTACGGTAACGAAGGGAGTAAGGTTTCCAGGGTAGACCTTCCCTGTACCCTTGTCGAAACCTCCAGCGGCAGGCATTTTGTCTGTGTTTTGATTCTTGTTATGCAAGAAATTATAAAAACAAAACAGAAAGAAGAAAGAAGAAAGAACTCAAAGAGCAAGAAGTATGAATAGAGAAGAAGAAGGAGAAGAAGACGATAGAGAGGTTTACGACAAGCATGGGAAGTGCATTATATATAGAGAGTCCGCTCAAGGTTGGCTAGCCTAGATAAGAATGAATTGTTGAGCTGTCATAATTTAATTACTTAATTCCAAATCAATATTATTTTTTAATATACACCACCCTGGCCCGTCCCACACATAGCTTAAGGCTCCTTCGTTGAGAAGATATCTCCACAACCCCCCCCCCCCCCCCCAACGAACCCTGCCAACGCGGTTAGTCACACGTTGGAGCAGAAGGTGATTCCACCATTGCTCCTTGGGGAGCAAGCTTTTCACTTGTGGCCAAGATTATTTGCGTTTGGTTTCTCTACTCGTATTTTTTGTTGCTTTTCTTTTTTTTTTTTTTTTTTGGCGATCTATCCAAACTATATTAATAAAAGACACTTTACTGAATCAGAGTTTATTTACTTCCCTCCTCTTGCCTTGTTGTTGTTTTTGTGCTACCGCAAGCTTAGGGCGTATGACTAAAATGACCCAAGTTTGTTTGGCCCGCTTTTTTTTATAGTGCAATGTTGGCTATTCGGTTTACTCTCTAACTTGTTTATGGTGTACAAGTTGGTTATGAGAGCACTTGGAGTTTGGCCTTTGATTTACAATGGCAGTGTTATGAAAGGTTTTTCTACAAGTGGGTATGAGGGTTTTGTCTCGAGAGAACGTCAAGTTTTGCTGCAGGCTAGTCTCAGGTCTTTACAAGTGGAGTTATTGAGAATTTACCCTCCTTAATGTGTCGACTTCGATTCTATTCGAGTCATCCATCACGGGTGAATTGGGATGCCCTCCTTTCGATCACAAGTTTTTGGTGACGTTGCTTCTCTTAAAGAGATCTTTAAGTTACATTGGTCACCTTCTCAAACTACGAACTCTGTTTTTACCATGTCATCTCTGCCCTTGAGTGGCGAACACTCTAGGGTTTACATAAAACTTATAGCGAAGAATTTGTAATAAAGAGGTTCGAACGCGATTTGAGTCACAATGGGCTTTCCGAAGGTGTTCGGCGTTCCACTTTCGCAAGACTGTTGTACCGTTTAGATATCTCACTTGGAAAATGTTAGGGTTATGCCCTAAGAGTACAATGTTTGTTTTTTGAAATGGTGTAACCATTGTTAAAAAAAATAAAATGTTTTGTATCTCCTTTTAATACATATGTACATGTATGTACATCAAAGGTCAAAGGTTCCTGAACTCTGAATAAGATAAAATCTTCGTTTATAAGAAATAGTCATATATGGGAGATACGAGATTTATACATAGCTCAAATTATGTTCGAAACATAAAATAAGAATTGGGCACTCTGGTTTTATAAGGTTGTTGTGTTTGCTGCCTCATGGCGGTGATGATTTTGAATCACTAAAATGAGAATTTTGGGGTAGAGACACTTGTGCATTCGATATGCATTGAACTAGACCAATAAAGTTAGTAATTTTGTGTAACTACTGTAATAGGAAAAGACATAACTTCACACCTTAGCACTTACCATATATCTTGAGTGGGTATGTATCTTTCATTTATAGACTACGGTCTTTGATTCAGTAGAAGGTGAGATTCTATTATTTAACGGATCAATACCACGGCTGATTGGATTGTAGCTCTATGGGTCCAAGAACACTATTCCATATAGATGGAATTCATAACTCTAAAAGGTTTAAGGATATCGCCTTATAGTTTTACTGGGTCTTGAATGAGACTTGGCCAAGCATTTGTTGAAGTGTTCATTAAACATTTATCATTCAGTGGGAGTAAAACTATCGCAAGGAAAAGATGTAACTGGAAGGTATATCGATATAATGACCTAGTTCCGTTATCGGTGTTCCATGAGGATATATTGTAGTTGTCGCTAAATGGAAATGCTTAATGAGATAATTTAATTGGATTAATTATTGAAGTCTGATAAACATAATGTTTAATTCAGGAGTGCAACTTTGTCCCTATAGTGGATTCAGACAACATTAACGTATTTGGTACCTTATGTTTATGAGATAAAGGGTAAGAAACCGAATACATTGAAGCATGTTATTAAACATTTCCATATGGGTCCTCAAGGTAGCCGATAAAATTTATCTTGGACAACGTGTGTGAAAAATAAATTATTCTACTTTAATTTGAATTATCTAGAATAGTTTGGGAATTAAAATAGACAAGTTACGGAAGGTCTTCGGAGACATGCATTAATGTATTAATGGTTTAATATATTGTGTAGAAAGACTTATATGATTGTCATCTCAAGTATGAGATAATAGTAAGCTAATAACATAATGATTGGTTGAGGAATACTTGAATGAATGTATGTAAAGTTTTGGACTAATTTAAAATGTCCAATTTCACGAACTATAAAAAAGTCAAGATCACTATTACATGCAACTTTGTTTTTAGATCAAATCTCAACTCTCTCCTCACGTCAAAACTTTTCCTCAAATTCCTTTTTAATTTTTTGTGTTAAAATTAGTTTTAAACACAAATTTGTAAAGGATTCACGCATACTAGCTTGGAATGTTTCTGAAAGCTCAACCCCACTCATTACATCCATGAGCTTTGGCTATACCTTAGAACATTCATTGGTACTGAACTTCATTGAGGTAACAATATTCACATATCTAAATTAAATAGCTTATTTTAGTTGATCTTGGGGTATAGTTTAGAGTTACCGAATTTTACATGTTGCATTGTTTGGCAACTCCTCATTTCTGACCCAATCAGAAAATTCCTTGTGCGTGCTTCTAAAATATTTGGGATGGACCTTCCCCTTTTCGCCTTAGTGCCTATGCATCACATCTTTTGCATTGGACACAATTTCTGGAATGTCTCTTACTTTGGGTTTTCAGTTCCTGCTTTTGAGTCGCAAGCTTCTTGGCCCACAACATTAGGAGGCTAGTCGCAACTAAGCCTTTCCTCATATCTCATCAAAAGCCGTTTTTGGCGTCGGCCATGATTTTTTTGTTATGTGCCATGTCGAGTGGAGGTCTTTTTCAGAAACTGAGGTTGTGAAACGTTGGAAAAGGATCTTCCTGGAAAACAGAAAGAGCTTGGCAGGGGGCCTCTTCTAGCACCAAAATGTAGTTACAAAATTTGCAACAACCGGCGAGACTCAATCAACCTTGGCGGGATGAGTGCATGTTGCGCTCAACCACGAATGGGGATGAACAGATCAAAATAGAGGCAAACAAACTAGAACAAGATTGAATGCGTTGGTTTTTAAAGAGGTTTGGCGGCATAACTCTTAAGCTTAATGTTTTTTGTTAGTTATTGCTTTGGATGTTTTGCCTTTGATTACTTATACAAAGAGTTGCTTTCTTCTCTCAATGAGATATGTGTGTAGCGTAAAGAAGATCTCCTTGCCTAAGCGCTTACATGAATGATAAAAAAGGGGGTAGAGAGAGAGAGGAGAGAGAGAGTCCCCTTGGTCAGATGGAAAACTAGCCTATTAGGTTTGTAACAGTAGCAAACTTGTCATTGAAGCTTAACTCTTGTCATCCTTTAACTGAGAGTGGTACTTAACTTGTAAGCGGGCACAGCGAGGGAATTATCGGGTTGTTCTCCTTCTTTGAAATGGAGTGGCTTCCCGTCTATTCCCCGTTCTGACAATGGCCGGGAGTTGGTGATCATGGAGGGATTTGCACCATAATCCTCCTAATCTGAATATGAGTCAGCCTTTTACCCATGCTTAAGCCAAAATAGTCATTACTAGGTAATAGTAACCCAAACAATTATGACTCAAATGATGAGTTCATGGCTAAGTACCTTGCCATGGGAGTGCACATGGGATAGTCCTGGTCACTCGGTTTGGCTTTGTTAAAGGAAAAGTGGCACGAATCTGATGGTCCAGATCACAACACACCAGTCTGACAAACCCATGTTATTATTCCATGTTCTAAAAGCAAAAAGTGAAATAATATTTAATTTGTTCATATATCTTTGTCTTGCCGAAATACATAGGGGGTGTTTGTCAAACTTGTTTATTAAGCTCTAAAATTAAGCTGACTTGTTTGTTTATAATTTTTTTTAACTTATAAGCCAAAAAAAATAAGTTTGGAGAGGTACTTTTTTTTTTTTTTGGCTTATAGCACTTTACTTAAACTAGTTTGAACAAGTATATACCACATTATCCTGGTTTAATTTTAAAATTCCTAGTATGCCCTTGTTTTAATGTAGTACCTTTTTTAGTAATTTTATAATAAAATGTACTTATAAGTATACCTGGGCAAGGGACCGGTCCCTTGGGACTGGTCCCAAATGGAACCAGCTCTCATGGGCCTGGGACCGGTCCCAGGCCCATGAGAAAAATCAGGACCCGGACCAGGCCTAAGCCTGTCCAGACTGGTCCCATGGGTTTGGAAATTTAATTTTCCCCCCACATTTTTTATATTTTGGGGGCAAAACGAATTTTATAGGGGGTTTTTAGTATTTTTTAGGGGTTGATTAGTAAGTTTCTAAAAATTTAATTAATTTTAAAAAATAATAAATTAATAGTTAATTTAATTTTTACATATATAATATTCACATTTCACACATTCACCTTCACAAATAAACAATTAAATAATTTTTTTATAAATTATTTCATTCATTTTCATCGTCAACACTAGTTACATTATTCAAATCTGTATTCCTAAAGAGTTCGAGTAGTTCGGATCTTCAGGGTGCTGTTGTAGTCTTCTTTCTCCATGAGTCCAATCCCGTAACACGTTATCACTTCAATCATCCATCGTTTAAAGAACATCTTCTGTCTTCAACAATCCGACCACTCGTTGAAATGTTGACTCGGATGCAATTGTAGAAACCGGCACAGATAAAATGTCACGTCCCATTTGGGATATAATGGGGAATTGACTTTCTTGTTGGTTCCACCATTGAGAATATCCATGTCAAGTTGCTCCTTCATCGTCATAAAATCAAGTCAGTCCACCTGTAGGTAGCGAGTCATCTCATTTGGTCTATGTATGTACGAGCTGGAGCTAGAGTTGGAGCTTCCGCTAAGTCCCCTACCC